GCTCTGATGGAGAAAAAATGGGCAATCTCTCTGAAAATCTACTGGAAGGTCAGCTATGAGTCACTTCAGACTCGATGATATATAATAAGAATAATACAAGCCAATATAGGGCAAGCACGATATTGTGCAGTTTTTGTGTACTTAATTTTTCCCTTTATCTTCCTGTTGTTGATTTCTAATTCTATAACATTGTGATCTGAAAAGAAGCTTCGTAGTATTTCAGTGTGATGGATTTTTAACCATAAATTTCACAAATCTTACTTTGTGCAAAAACATATCGTTATCGTCTATTCTGGAAAATATTTCATACATATGGTCTATAAAAATGGACCTATTACTGATTGAGAAAATACTGAAATTGTCAATTATTTCATCTTACTTTGGTACACAATCAGCACCCTTAGTACCAGCAGTCAGGTCAGGAGACATAGTGCTCTGGGAAAACTTGCAGTCAGGGACCTCTCTCAGTAACTAAGGAGCAATGATATCACTGCTTCTTCAGCACTCGTGTTGGAGTTGGTTGTTTTTGTTGTCATGTACCATCAAGACACCTATGACTCATAGTTACGCTATGAGGGTCAGAAAACTGCCTTACCCCTGAGCCCGTGGCATGTACTGAGTATCCAGTGGACTGACTAAAGAAGAGATAAGCCTTGGAGAAAGTGCAGCCAGACTCCTTGGAAGCAAATGTCATAAAACATCATCTCACATATTTTGAGCACTTTTCTATGAGAGGCTACTCCTTGAAGAGAGAGAAACATCATTCTTGAAAGGAAGAGGTTTGGCAAAAGAAAGGAAATGCTCAGCCAGACGGATTGACACGTAACTATAGCAATGGACTCAAGCAACTATGTCAGAAATGATGAGGCTGGCACAGGTTAGGACAGGGTTCATATCTGTTGTTCATAGGGTTGCTATGATCCTAACTTAACTCAACGGTACCGAACAACAACAACTGGAGAAGAATGTATACTGTGTTCTCTTTGAATGGAGTATTCTGCATACGTCTACAAGTTTCAGTAGGTTAATTTTATTGTTCTGTTCTTCTGCATGTTTGTTGAGTTTCCTTCTAGTCATTCTGTCCTTCATCAAAATATGTTAAGATGTCTATATATGATGACACATTGGGCAGCCAGGAGTCCATAACCCTCTTCAATCAAGACACAAGAAAACAAAGGAGGAGGATTCTGGACTCTTGCATTGAAAAGGAAAAGATAAAGACGTACTTCTAACACCAACTGAAGGAAGAAACTTAAGTAAAAGAGTAAGAGGACTGAAAGCACAAAATATTGTAAGAAAAGCAACTTGGCCATTTTGAAAGGTGATCTAACCAGCTCAGGAACTTGAAACTAGAACAGTGTCCACAATAGCAGCTGTCTGGTAAGAAAGATGCACTCTTTCCTTGGGTATCCATCCCATCAACTGGGGATCAGGGAGGGGACTTCATCCATACCGCTCAATGGCTGGCAATGATCCCATACCTCATCTGAACTCTGCCTGATTCCAGGCCTATGTCGCTTTGTTTCAGATGCTAGGAGTGTGCTCAGCTCCACTCTCAGAGACCCCCTTAAGGATATGGTGGATTGTGCAATGCCTGGTCTGTAACTGACCACTGAATTAATGGACACATCACCTCTGATGGGAATCTTTTCCTCTTACTGGGAATCCTAGGAATAAATTGCCACGTATCCCAGGAAAACTTGGAGAAATAAATCCTCCATGAAGCATGCATCTCATATTGTATGGGCTCTTCATGCTTGTTAATCCTTCCTCCCTGGGTATTCTGCCTATGCCCAAAATCTAGACTAGAATAAACAACCTCCTCAGACAGGAAGACTGCCCTTGGATCCTATGACGTCAGCAGGAACTTCATCTCAGATTAGGTGTCCTATGCTACAACATTACCTGGACCAGACAAGGTGCTGTCCTTAGACCAGCTTACATCCTGAGGCCTCAGTCAGTTCCCAGATGAGCAGGACTCTGACCTGACTGCCACTCAAAACATCTGTTGGCCTTGCAGACAAACTGTCCTAAGCCAAACATCTTACCTCCACCCACAGCAGGGGCAAAAGAATCACTCAGGTGCACAGCTCATCCTTTTCCTAGATCTCTGTCTCTCTGACATATTGTGATGGGAAAGTCTGCTGTTAGGGACCTCTCCAAAGTACTGAAGAGCAATGGTGTCACTCTGGAAACTAAGACGCATTTGATCCAGGTCATGGTCTTTGCAATCACTTGTTATGTGTCAGAGAGTTGAACAATGACTAGGATGGATAGAAGGAGAATGGATGCCTTCCAGCTGTGGTGCTGGAGAAGTGTGTTGGGTGAACCATGGACTATAAAGAAAAGGAGCAGATTCAACCTGGAGAGAGTTAAACCGGACTGCTCCTTGGAGGCATGTATTCTGAGGCTTTGTCTGACATACTTTGGACATGTTTTAAGGAGGGACTGGTCCATGGAGAGGGACATCATGGGTGGGAGGGTTGAGGGACAGTGCAGGAGGGGAAGACTCTCTATGAGGTGAATTGATTCAGTAACTGGGGTAATCGGGATGGGTGTGTTGGAGATGGTGTGATTGGCACAGGTCAGAGCAAGTTTTAGGGCTATTGTACATAGGGTCAAGGTGAGTCAGACGCGACTTAATGACACATAACAACAAGAAGAACAACAACAAGCCCCTTTAAAAAATTTTTGTCTGCTTCTTTGATTTTTAAGGGCATTATGGTAGCCTAATAGGTAAGATGTGACACTGTCCACTCAAAGGCAGAAGTTTTGAATTCACTATCTGCTACATGCCGGGGGCGGGGGGGGAGTGGACAATCTACTCTCTTTGATTTGTTGTTACTGCAGCTGTTTTTGTTGTTGTTCTGGTGGTGGTGGTGTATGGTAGTCTGAAGTGAATCATAGCTGAGTCTCCAGTTAAGTTTTCAGAGGCAGTAAATCGCATGAAAGTAGATTACCCATCTTACTCCCACTGAACAGCTTGTGGATTTGAACTGAGGGCCTTAGGTATGGCAGCATAGCTCCTTACCACTAGGCCACCAAATCTGCCCATACTAAAGCTCTTGTTATTGTTGCTGTTGTTAAGTGCTGTCAAGTCCATTACAACTCAGTCACTGTATGAACAACCAATCTGAACCTTATTCTACTCTGTGCCAACCCCACAATCTCTGATACATTCAAGCCCATTGTTGCAATCATTGTGTCAACCCAAGTAGTTGTGGGTCTTCCTCTCCTTCGCCATCCTACCACCACCTCAAGCATGAAGTCTCTTTCCAAGGAACAACCTCTCCTAGCAACAAGCCCAAAGTATGTGAGATGAAGCTGCCAAGAAGCCTTCTGCTTGCAAATTCTCCAAGACTTTCCCCATTTCTCACTGTTGTTCCAGAAGTCATTTTCAATACTTGAAGGAAAAAATCATTAGTTTTCACACTTTAGTAAGTACATGCTTACAGAGCTTCTACCCAAAATATTTAACATGACTTATATTGAAAGGAATATTTTTCCCCTCCACTATTCCACTACTGAGAATAAACCCTAAAGAAATAAGAGTAATTATATGACCTGATGTATGCACATCATGTTTATTGCAGCATTATCCACATTAGAAAATAGATGGGAACTGCCCAAGAACCCATCAACAAACAAATGGACAGAGAAACTGAATCACATTCACACAGTAGTGAAAAATTATGAACTCAGAAAACACGACACAACATGCATGAGTCTAAAGGACATTATGCTAAATGAAATAACTCAGTCTGAAGAAAGAAGAATACTGTATAACATCACTCTTTTAAAAAGGACAAATATAGTGGTTTGGGAAAGGAACTGGGAAATTAATGAACACTGTATTGTACTAGGTGATGGTAAGGGCAATGTGAAATGCATGGATGATCAGACATTGTATGTACTGCCATTAACAATGGTCAGGGTAGCTAACTTATTCAACGTTAAAAAAATGTCGATGAAAGTTTTACACACAGAAACAATCATGGAGCAGTGAAGGCTGACATGGATGGAAGGGAATGGAGAGGGGAGCAGGGATTAGTGGTGCATGAGTAAATGAAGGAAAAGGAAACGTATCATGAGGATTTGATGGCATGTTTAATTAATACCATTGATCAATTGGAATTATTATTATAAAAGAAAATGTATACAAATTGTAAAATGAAAACTTAAAAAATTAAAGAACTCAGAAATGTCAGATGTATCATGCCAGGAGAGATCAGACTTTGCAGAAGCGTAATCCAAAAATTGATAAAC